GCCTTGTTTGACCAACTCATAATCTCTCTTCCTTGGAGTTCACTGCAGCTGTGAGCTATTAATCTGCTCTAGGGACAAAACAAACCATGCTCTTTGGTCCTATAGCCTGCATGTCCTGATTTAAACTTGGAGGTAATCAGCAGTTAGAAAAATAGTATGGATTTCTGGTTTCTATTCTGCTGTTCCTTGATAAGTCTGAACCACACGTACAAGAGATTCATAATTGTAAATCTTTAAACTATTAACTGAAGCAATTATTTTAAAGCTGTCTTAAAACAGTCACACAGAAGGCAATATGATTTGCTGGATCATTGCTCAAAAAAAACATGTAAGTGTACATACAAACACCATGCAGAAAGCAAAGAGTGATATGACGAAAACCCCTTTTAATTTGATGACAATCTTTTCATCCTCTCAAAGATGTCCCACAATGTAAGATTAACATGATGGCCTGCGTCCATCATTAATGATCTTATGGTTAATTAACCAATGTCTATGGCCATAATTAACTATAAGATGGTCTAGTTCTGTTGAAATTACAGGGGGTTCATATGTATAATATGTATTATAAAATCAATAGATTGATAGATCTCATAATACACCCATGTAAGTGCCTAGTAATACAGGATCTCATTTCATAAGGATCACTCTATGGAAACCAGAGTGACACAAACGCCTCTTCCTCACTACATGCTTTGCCATTCAGAGCCAAGTGTAACGCCACTGGCCCAAGCATGATACAAATTCCTTTGGCATTTCTAGCTTTCTAATTTGTCTGCCTGTAAAAAGAGACATGCTTTGCACATTATAAAGATGCTCATATGTTATTACTGAACTTAGCACTTACTGAAAAACAGAGTATATAAAACCACCTGCAATGTAATTATATAAGATTAAATATGCATATATTTACACACATGGTATGCCCAAACAATTTGTCAGCTCCAAGTGAGTCTTAATGTAAAAATGTATTTTGACTTGCCAGAAGCAACAAATATTTGATTAAATACAGAGGTCTCTTTGTATTGGGTAACTCCAGCTAACCAAAAATGAGATTTTAAGTGGAATACTACCCAACCACAAGCACAGTCACAAATGAATAGGTGAATTTCAGAGGAAAATACCAAACCTCTTAAAGAAAAATGCCTCCAATTGTCTCTTCAAATCCTGACCTATGATCTTTAAGCATCTGGAAGCTCTTGATTATACACAGATATTATAATTTGATGAGAAAATATAGTTTCTACTATCACTTCATGCTCAATGAAACAGTTCAGGACTTATTTACTGTAAGCCAATTAACAATTGCATGAAATCATATGTTAACACAACTTACAACCCAGAAGTTATTATACAGATGTATAATAACTTATCATAGTAAAAAAGGTGAATTGTATTCTTGGTTAAACTCAGCTTGCCCATAATAGCACGGTAAGCATTTCTCTGCTAACAATATAGCTAACAGCACATGCCAACATAATTTAACATCTCTTGGGCTAACATTTATACGTGGTTCAAAGTATGAAAGTTTCATATATATACATATATATACATGATTTCAAAGGAAGAAAGCAAAATTCTTATGTAGTCAAACCATCAAGGAAAAAAGGTTTTCAGGAAAACACAAAAAAAATTAGAAACTAAAATTCTATAAGAACTCTTACTGGGATCATTCCAACACATATTTCCACAGCCAAGACATTCATAGACAGGTTAGATTAACAAAAAGATACTCAGTTCATTCAAAGAACCATTAACTGCTTTAAGTTCAAAATTTAGTTTATGGAATACTTTGTATTGGATGTAAAGCCTCATTAGCAGCACCAAAACTAGGTCACAATCATCAATTGGAGGTGAGAAGAATTTCATCAAAAGACATCTGTACAGTGTTTCAGGTTTTCATACTTATTTCACTCATCACATCAATGCTCTAAGAGCTACAAAATAATACTGTATTATTTAAAACTACTCAAATTTCCCAGATCTGGTCTCCAGTTTTTTTAATTGCCAGAAAAGTACTTTCTAGAGATTCAGAGAACCTAAGAAGATCTCTGTTCTACACTAACAATCATTCCATCACAACACAACAATGAAAAAAAGCAAGGGAAAATAAAGTAAAATAGAAAATTTTAAACATCTATTTTACATATATAAAATATAAAATAAATAAAAAATAAAATCAAAATACTTCTGTGACATTGCAGGCCTTTCACTAACTATGTAAATATGCGCCATTATTATGTATTATCTGCTTGGCCCTGAATTAAACTGAACTGTACTTCAGGGAAGATCAAACCAGAGCTCAAATCCATTCAAGTTTGAGTAGTGCTGAAGAGATATGGAGAGTCATGTGGTCCACGGTTTACTGTAAAATGTGCAGGTATGGTAGAAGTCAATCAACAGCTGTTTGTCCTTGCTTCATAATGAGAATCTGCATCAAAGACATTGCCCAGCTACAACCATGCTTACCAGGCATGGAAACAGCCTCGAGCTTCCCCTTCTTCAAATCTATCTTTGCTTTATGCCACTGTTTTTGTTGAAAAACTGTAACTGAGTACGCTTTACTGAGGTGGACTGAAGTACAAAAGGACAAAGGGACATCATCATTCAAGGGTACGCTTCATTCAATCGTTCATTGTTCACAGTAAGCTTTTAGAAACTGCATTTAGACCTTGCTACCAGAAAAGGACACATTTCGCAAGACAGGGCTAAAAAACACACCCCAAAAATGTCTGCCACATACTAATGAAAGCTTGTCTAACCAACACAACACCTAGTTATAGCTTTTTTTTTTCCTTACAAGTCAATGATTCATTGCTAGATAAACAGCAAATACTGCATACTGACCAATCTGGAGTTTTCCCCTCCCTCAATTCTCTTACATGTAAATTTCCTTTAACTGATAAGACACCGACTGAAAGCAAACTGCAGCCTGTACAAAGAGCTGTTATTTTCTGAGAAAAAACTGTTAAAAAGCAAGATTTTTCTCATTAATAGACAAACTTTTATTTCTTCTTGACTAAAGGCTTTTTTGCTCCCCTCCCTGCCCCCCCTTTCCTGCAATGCCAATTTGCACACTTTCATTCAGCAACATCAGGGGAAATTTACCAAAAGCACCAGTATTTGACTCCAAAACAGCTAGTTTATTTTTCTTCATATTAACAGAGTTTCACAGTACTAGCGTACATTTCAAGTACTGCAGTGCTGGCAAAGAAAGAGACAACTTTCAGTTTTAGCTTTTCCAGAACTCTTCTTTATGAAGTCCATGTTGTAAGTTAAAATACAAATGGGTTCTTATTAAATTGAAACTATTTGGAATCATCACTTCACTGTGCAACTCCTGTTTGCTCCCATCCCACAGATAAGTATCAAACAATCAACAACAAAAATGTAACAATAGCAAAGAAGAGTGGGTCTGCCTGGTGCTTACATCAACAAAAGGGGCTATGTGATAGTATCAAGGGGCTCCTTCTGAAAATTGCATCCAGAAACCTAGAGAAAATTGTCCCAGACTGACTTAGATATAGACACAGACATATCACAGATATGAATGTATTTGAACGGGGAGTGTGTTGGAGGAAAGTGGTTGAGCCACCATTCCTCGAGGCATTTAAAAGACACGTAGATGTGGCACTTAGGGACATGGTTTAGTGGTGTACTTGGAAGTGATGGGTTAGTGGTTGGACTCAATGATCTTAGAGTCTTCTCCAGCCTAAATGATTCCATGATTCAAAGCATTCTCTTCTGATACATTGATTCTCTTCTGATTCTCTTCAGTGCTTTTTACACTGAACCTGATCAAGTTCTTTAGGCAGTCCCTTCACTAAGCAGGTTTCCTTCCATAAATACTATTTCTGCTAAATTGAAAACAAGCAAATCCTAAGAACCAACCTCCAGAAGGACAGACACAAGAAATATGTTAAAGAAACGCATACATAACTACCACTTCTATGATGATAAATATAATGCTGAATACACAGCTGTTCATCTGTAAAGTCTGCACCATAGCTCAGGTAATGGCCACATTCCTTCCACATCCAAATCTTTCACCTCCCTCTCAAACCCTCGGAGGGATCCTAAGGTGTCTGAAGAATATGGAAGGGAAAAGGTGGGAGAAGGAGATCCAACCAGAACTGGAAGTTGGTGTGAACATCTCTCAGTGAAACATCCACTACATTTTACATGAAGAGACAATAGCATTTGCATTCTAGGAAGTAAACCATACATACAGCAAGTAAAGAAACTGTTTCATTAACATGGAATAACTGGAGTTGAATATTAACTAGGCAGAACCAGCACAGGGGATCAAAAGCCCTATCCCCGAACAACTTGCAGAAAGTACCTGTTGAGCTTTCCCAAGATTTAATTTCATCACATGTATCCCATGGAGAAGTATGTTCAATTCCACACAGCAAGGGAGAAGAGTGAGGGAAAACAGCAGTAAGGAGCAGGTAGCAATGCCAGGGGCAGAAAGTCTCTAATCTGTATATCCAGATCTTTATTCTTTTTGTGAGTGATTAGACTGAAGGACTAAGGATTAGACAGAGCAAAATGCAACTGGAAAAATTAAAGTAAATAAATACACAGCTGCTCTTGTGATTTTTTGCAAATTAATGTAGATAAAACATGCCTCAGGGAAAGAGGGTCACACACTTCCTCATTTGGAGACTGAATTCCAGAGGCATCTGTCACCCACCGTGCACACATCACTCACATGCTCCTCACAGAGCCTCCACAGGCACTGCCTTATTCTGGAACCTGTCTGAATAGCACAGTACTAAAAGCACATCATTATACAAGCCCAATTACCTACTACAGCAACCTACTGCCTGACAAAAGCAAGAAACGTTATCGTACAAAGGAAGGAAATAAATTAAAGTAATACATGCTTAGTCCAGAGGGAATTCCAGAAACATGGATTCCTAGAAATTTTAACATCAACATAGAACTAATTTCCTTTACACAGCAAGAAAGCAAACACCACATCATGCATTACTCACCCCTGCAAGAAATTCCTTGGCTGTCAATTACTTGTTTGCAGATTCCACAGGTTCTGGATTTTTTAAAAGACTTGGTTTTGAAGGTATGAGACCTTGAAGCTGTTTCCTGAGGCTGGAAGCAAGAAGAATAACATCAGACCATCACTCAGCTTTTGAGTCATACTTTTAAAGTGAAATATAAATAATTCTAAAACAAATATAACAGTAGTACAGATATAGTATGTATATAAATATACATATATAATATGTATATAAATATAGCAGTAGTAATATTTAGTAGTACATCTAATATAATTTAATTGTCATATTATATTTAGTAGTATATTTAGTGCTTACACTCTATCGCTCATCCTTGCTCTTGTTCAACAACATGAGCTTTTTACTTCCAAGAGTAGGAAACAACAGAATGTCAGGAACCTCTTGCATATCAGGACACAGACATCTCAATTCATTTTTACTGTCATTTCAGAACTCACTCTATGACTTACCTTTTAAGAGGAAATACGGAATAGTGTCTACGATATGACCCAACAGTCTTCTAACCTAAGGTCTTATCTACATAAAAACTAGCATTCGTTCAGATAAAACTAGTTAAAAATATCCTAAGTAATGCTCTATCACAGTAGCAAATTTAACTCATCTGGTGCAGAAGGTAGGTTGGGATGTCTTAATAATGTCTTGGTCAATAAATGAAAAGCATCCATGCAAGCTGACTTAGGCACAGATTGCTAAATTTAAAATCCCTTCTTTCCTGTATAAGAAATATACACTAGCTTAAACTAACATTATTTCCACAGTGTCACAGTTGTATTGTTAAAATACAATGCAATAATGAAATTTCTAACTGGAGACAGAACTCAAAAAGTCAGTACCATATATGCAATGACTTCTATAACTTTGGAAACATTTAGGTAACATTTAGATAACAAAACAGAGGAGACTACCAAAAGCCTATGACAGCCATTATCTCCTTTGGAAGGCAAGTAACAACATTCACTTTCACTTACAGATTTTTTTAAAATATCAGTTACCTATTCAAAAAGAAAAATACATTTCACCAGACCATGAAAATCCCCAAATGTTTCTTCACGTTCTTCATTTTCATTTCACATTTGGACCTTACTTTTTTTACAGTCAGTACTGCAAACAGGCCTGCATTCAACACTAACACCTGTGCTGAGCTTTAGCAGCACAAGTGTCTAAAAGCAGAAAGCCGTCCCTCCACAGCCAAGCCAGACCACCGCAGCACCCAACTTCCATCCATACGTCTGATGAGAAAGTTTCCCAGTGTGTGGGCAACACACAAGGTAACGTGGCAATGAAGTATCATGGGATTTCTTTGTGGCTTTAAGCAACTCAACATGCAGCTCTAGGCAAAATGTTTACTGTCTCCAAACATAACTACAACACAGTGCCACAATAGCCACAAGAACAGCCATAAAAATGAATATCACCTTCTAAGTACTACCTCCACATGGGCCTACCCAAAACGCCAAAGAAGCCCTGAGGAACACAAATAACAGTGACTGAGCACACTGAGCAGGCTAGCAGCTCAGAGGCCATCCCCAATGGGGATGCACAGTGAGCCTGATCTTAAGAATAGCTTCAGGAAATATCACTGGTCTTACCCACAGCATAAAACCAAGATAATTCACATATTTCCATAAACAATATGGTAGAAATTATAGGGGCTGAAGGAATAAGCCTTAGTCTGGACTCTCAGGATCTTTCCACTATTGAAGTGTATTAATCAGCAGAAATTAGTAAGAGAAATAATCTAACAGTCCACATCCTTGAAAGGCTCAAGCAGGGGATAAAACACTTCAGAAATAAAACTGAATTGTAATTACGGTGCTTCATTAGACACTTCAATCACTCACTGTAGAAATCAAAATCACAAATTTCACTGTATCCCCAACTGCTGGCATTTGCAATATGTTACTTCCGATGAAACTGAAAGATGTTGTCAGACATATGATTTATATTTAAAAAAAAAGAACAGCCAAACTCCAGAATTACATATGAACATACTTGATGGCAAACAGATCAACTTTATTAGTTTTGAAAAATCTCTGTCATGATTGAGGTATTTGCCTTTGAAAATACAGGAGAAGCTTTTGAAGAGACAGGTCTAGAAGGAAGGAAAAGTATCATTACATCCAGGTAACTTCACTAATCCAACACAAGGAGGTTCTGTGCCATACACGGTTCAGGCATTGTGCCCAAAGAGCTGAGAGTCCCTCATGTCCACAGCCTCTTCTATGTAAAAAAAAAAAAAAAAAAAAAATCAGCAATGCCATCATCTCCATTAGTTGCTGCAGTTTCTATGCTTTGTAGATTTATGAAAAACAGAATTCTCATTTTATTTTATCCTCTCTTCTTCCCTACAGAGTCTAACTTCTGGGACATATCTGCAACTCCTTGAAAATGAGTTTCGCAGATCTTGCATTTTTGAAGAAATTAATGGATAAACTTCACTAAACGTTTATTCTGTAGTTAGGCCTGCTTCTCCTTATTTCCTACCTCCCAAACACTTCTTTGTGAACTCTGATGCTTAAACTGTTCCAAAGAAAGACAACTGTAATGAGAACTCACTGTTTAGAATACTGGAGTTTAGTGTAAGTAGGTCTTAACATTAGTTGATCAACTAGTCAATCTGTCCATTTAATTTCTAATGTAAACATCAAATGTAATTTTCCTCCATGGCATTTAGGAAATATTCTGCAATTGAGCCTTTGCATCTGCACTAAAATACATGCATTTTTTCTTCCCCTTTGTTCATTTTAGGTACATTCCACTATGTGGAATGTACGTGGGGGAGGAGAAAATAAAAGCAACCATAGCAGGCAGCAAGCAACACTACTTTCATGAGGCTCAAGACTGGAATCTAAAGTGCATATAACTGTTGGGAGCAAAAACTGGAAGAAAACAGTGCAGAATCACAGGGTACAGACTCAGTTTTTGCCCGAGAAAAAGGCTATAATTATTCCTGGTCTCAACGGATAGCGTTATGAAAATTACACCGGAAATATTTTGCCATGCTATGTTCTCTGTGGTACACAGAAATCTAATGAAGCTGAAGTTTCTCCCAGACTTGCATCAATATAACACTGCAGACTGCCTGAAGACTTACATGGGCATCCCTGGCTATGATGAATTTCAAATACTACTTTTCATTGAGCATTTTCATTTGGCATTGAGAATTTGCAACAGGCAAACAGATGCAAAATTCACAGCAACTCTGTCCAAGACTTTTGAGACACATAACACTTGGAGAAGGGAAAAGCAGTTTAGAAAAAAAAGCATTCTCCAGATTTAAATTAAACCAATACAGATTAAAGCAGACAAGATGCACAACTTTGGTTTTGGCAATACTGATACAGCAATTCCTCCCTGACAGAGATTTAACACTGGTTCATTACACCTATGGAACAGGCATTCACAATGTTATTCCCAAATACCAGACCACATCATAGCAACTAATTATCTAATGAATAACAGACCCAAGCAATATTTGTTTATTTTAACTGCACGTTTCTAACTTATAAAATGCAATAACAGTTCATTCTTTAAAGAGGTAGTCAGAGGGCTTAGATCTTCTATCAAATAATCAAGGAAATATTTTAAAATCAAACCTTTCCAACTGATCTTCAAGAAAAGTATGTAACTATATTCACACACATATATGCTCCATTAAAAACAAACCAAACCAAGAAAAAGGCACTTAGCTGATTATTTATTACTTCTACAGAACTGGTTCCCTACAAAGTCACCAGCCAGTGACTAATATTTTTGAGAAAATACAAAACTGCACAAAAATTATTAGACTTTAAAAAGTAAATCATTAATTCCAGGTGTTACTCTAAGTTAAGGGGAAAAAAAAGCCAAAACCTGTTTATACATTATTCCTCCATCTCCAAAACTTGTTTGTACATTATTTCTCCATCTCCAAAATTTCTAACAATCCATGTCATATTCCAGCTAAAAGAAAATTATAAACATACATACAAAGACTTATGTCAGACTCTACTTCTGCTGAATTTTACACAGCCTCTTACTACAGCAGCAGAATCACATAAAGCAAAAATATCTTTTGTTCATTTCCCATCTGTGGTCATACAAATATGATCCCTTCTCCCTATCCTCTAACTTACCAACCAATACTGTAATTTCCTAGGATTCTCTTTGTATATTCCTCTACTCTCCAAGATAGCTTTAAATCTAATGGATGATATAATGCTTATGACTACCATTTTACATACATGAAGGGAGGGCCCAGCAGTGTAATTAGCAGAATAGGTATTTCACCACCTCTTATAGGCTAGGGAAATGCCCACAGGTGATGTACAAAAGAAAGTTCAAATAAGGGATGACTAAAAGAAGTCTTCATGAAAAGGCTGAGGCCCAGTTAAAAAACAGAAACCTTTGCAAAACTAAGCCATATATCTATTTCTGTAAGATTGCTCCAAAAATAAATCACGGGAAAAATAAGGAAAAAAACAGTACACCCAACTGAGAGGAATGCAGCCTCTCAATCCTTTCTGCTAAGTTTACTCATTGTTACTTCTGTTACTTCTCTACTTCCTCTCCCTAGTCTTACTTGAAGTGCACAGCAAAAGTCCCATGATTTCTGAACAGTTACCTAAAGATCCCGTAGAAAAATGAAAGAATAAAAATCCCAACAGCTTACCCACAGTTTCTCGCAATTAGTGAACACTGATGAGATAGGACTGCCCAGAATACAACAGTTGGTATTATGCTGATGACACAAAATAGTTTAGAGGTTTTTTTCTCCTCTCCACATAGCAAACAGCATTTTTTAACTTTCCTACTCCTGAACCAGTATTCCACATTTGCTGCAGGTTTCATTTCTAGAAAAGAGTGCCTACCATGCATACAGACCCCTCTAAAAATGGCTTTGAGACCAACAGGCCTGACCACAACTTTTTGGTAACTTTAAAAAGTGATTATCTCAAAAGTCTCATGCAAAGATAATATGAATATACAATGAAGAACTTTACAGAAATAGCAAAGACCATAGCATACGAGATTGTTTGCAGCTCTCGTGTATGAACATTTCTTGGAAAACATACTATTATTTCAAAAGTTGCA